ACCCCCCACGGGGGCGCAGGCACACGCTGGCCCACACGGACAGACGCAGTTTCCTAACTGGAAAGGCAGGAACGGGGGTACTGCCGTTCCTAGAAACATGCCTGGAACACTCCACAGGTTCCGGGCGAGCAGTGGGTCAGGGGTGACCGTGGTTTCTTCATTATACCCACATTGCAAAACAGGGACAAAGGCAAGAGAGGCCCTGGGAGCGCCGGCCCTCCTGTCCGCACCTGGGAAGTCCGTGCTCACTGGTCAGAGCTTCCGGGCTCGGCTCCGGGATGAGATGAGAGCCCGAAGACTCGGAGCCACAGTCGCCCGTCCCACCCCAGCCATTGTTAAGGCCGGTCTGTGCCAGTCTACGGCACCCTGGCCACACCGAGCCCCGCCCACTGTGGACATCTTGGGTTGCCCCCTGACGTCAGAGGCATGCCCACACTCTGCCATGTGGCCAGGGCCTGCAATGTGACAGTCACGCCTGTGCTCAGGCCCCTCCAGACACAAGTCCCCTCCCGAGGGGCCAGGTTCAGAGGAGCCTCTGCCACATGACTGAGTAGTGATAGGGAGGTGTCCCCGTGTGGCTGCTCCCGCCATGCTGGGGGCGGCAGTCATCCACTGAGTAGGAACTCCCTTGCCAGCCAGACAGCCACACCATGGGACCCAGGAGCTCCACTCCTAGGGCATGTCCACAAGCAGTAACGCAGCCACGCCAAACGCAGGCGACATTACTCGCAGTGGCCCAAATGGTGGAGATGGCCCAGCACCATCAGCAGAACGCCGCCGTGCCACTTGCTGGAAGGAGAAGGGATGAACAAAATGTGCTCTCCCTCTCCATATGTAGAATGACCATAGTTTTGAGTCCCGGACCCAGTGGCTTAAACTCACACCGGGCGCATGTGAGCGCGTGCCCAAGATCCTGAGAGGAGAATGGAAGAGAAGGGACTGCGGTGTGGCCATCCCCCTGGGGGGGTGATTTCTCACTTTCTGTCTCTCTGGCGAGTGCACTCACCCTATAGCAAAAACCTCTCCCTGAAAAAGAGAGAGGCACTGGGCCAGCAGGTGGTGTTTTTGTTTTGTTTTGACCATGGAGTGCGTGCACTCGCTGGAGAGGACACAGAGAGGGCGAATGAGAAATCACTTCCTTCTCTGCAGTGAGATAGGAGTTAGACCCCACTTACGGTGGGAGGGGTAAGGGCCTCGAAAGGAAGCCACAGTGATTCTCTTTAATAAAGTATTTTCCTCTATGGTCCGGTCGATGTAAAACATACACCCCTTTTCCACATCTCTCACGAATGTGTGCCATGGGGCTGGCAGGTGGCGTGGTGGTCAAGTCTCTGGACTCACATGGCTGACCATGGTTCTAGCCCTGGACCTGGTGGCTTCCTTTCTCACTTTCCCTTTCTCTCTTTCTCTGGTCAAATTTAAAAAATAATAATAAATAAAATAAATAGTTCTTTAAAAAAAAATGTATGACTTCTTGGGGCTGGCAGATGGCATGGTGGTTAAGGTGCTGGACTCCAACATGGCCGACATGGTTCGAGTCCCGGACCTAGTAGCTTGCTTTCTCACTGTCCCTCTGTGGTCAAATTAAAAAACAAACAAACAAATAAATAAAGTTAAATAAAATATTTAATTAAAAAAAACTTCGCCTCCAGCTTCTCTTCAGCAACCCATTCATGCCCTCCCTGCTTGGGAGCTCTCTTCTTCTCTTTTTTTTTTTTTGAGAGGTTTTTGCTATAGGGCGCGTATGCTCGCCAGACAGACAGAGAGAGACATAGAGATAGAAAGCGAGAAATCACCCCCCCAGGGGATGGTCACGCCGCAATCCCTTCCCCTCCATTCTCCTCTCGGGATCTTGGGCACGCACGCACACGCGCCCGGCGTGAGTTTAAGCTACCGGGTCTGGGATGTGAACCGCGGTTGACTACATGGGAGTTCAGCGACATAGCCATTACGCTAACTGCTGGTCCCCACATCTAGCATGACTTCAAAGTCACTGGGTCTGGGTCTTAAAACTGCGCTTGACCTTGTGGGAGCCCAGTGCCTTAACCACGCTGCCTCCTATCTCCAATAATCATTTACTTTTAAAAAACTGTGTAAATTTATAACATATCGATTAGGACAGAAGCTCAAGAGGCAAAACCTGCAGGTGTTAACTGGATTGGCCAAACGGCACTTCCGGGAAAGGAATCCAGCACTTATCCTGAACACAAGGCATGAGGAGTCGGCCAGACCAGGGGGAGAACCTGCGCCGCTCCCTCCGCCTCGGGGACGTGCCCCCACCCAGCCTCCCCAGGGCCGAGGACGTCAAGCTCTCCTAACACCGCAGGGCCCAGACTCCAGAACGGAGGCAGCGCCTGACTGCCCTCCTCATGGGGACACTTACTTTCCAGCCTGAATTCCTTCCCAGGTTGATGACAGCTTTATAAGAATCCTGTCCTTGCTGATCCCAACTTCCTTGTAGAGCTCGATGAGGCGCTTGGCTCGAGCCACCATGGCGTCCTTATCAAAGGAGAGCCTGTAGAGGACACCAAGAACACTCAGCGAGGAAGAGCAGTGAAGGCGCCCGCGTCGGCTCCAACTCCCTGCCGTCCCCTCGCTCCGGTGAACTGAGCCACTCACAGTCACGCTTCCTCAGTGAGGCTGTGGCTGTGATTTTGCTCGCTTTTTGTTAGAGGGCACATGCACTCACCAGAGAGAGGGGGACAGAGAGGGAGAGAGGGATGGGAGAAGAGAAAGGCCTCCCTAGTGGGAGCATTTGGGGCACACACTCATGCCCAGAATGTCTTCCACGCCACCAGGGCCGGAATTTGAGGCGTGACGTCGGCCACGTGAGCTCTGGCTCTGTAACTCCCGGACTGCAGGAGGGCTGTCCCGAGCCAGGAGCCCCGGCCTGTCAGTGTTGGCTGGGACACGGAGGCGCACGCCTTCCCCCGAGTGCGGACTAGCTGTCCAGGAGCTGTGGACGGGACCACCACCCTCAGACCTCGCAGCCCTCCCACTGCGGACGCCTGAGCAGCCTCACCTCGCGTCTACTTCTGTGGATACACGGCCTGGAATCTTCTTCAGTATTTCTGCTCCAAACAACACGAAAAGTTTATCGATGGCATTTGTAATTTGATCCTCTCGTGACCTGAAATTCACAGGGGGAAAAAGTAAGGTCGGAAGCTTATGAGGCTCAGTACCTGAGACTCTCCGGAACAGACTGCATTATTTCTCTGCCAAATTACCTCCTTCCACCTTTACCTAGTCTGTTTTTAAAAAATTGGTTTTCACCATGGTAAAATACACAAAACAAAAAACTTGCCATTTTAACTATTCTAAGAATTATTTTATTTATTCATTCATTTATTTTAATTTGACCAGAGAGATACATGGCATGTGGGGAGTGAAGAAGCCAGCCACCAGTTCCGGGACTCGAACTGTAGTCGGCCATGAGCCTTAACCACCACACCACTTGCTAGCCCCAACTATTTCTTTCTTTCTTTCTTTCTTTTTTTTTTTTTTGAGAGGTTTTCGCTAAAGGGCGTGTGTGCTCACCAGACAGAGAGAGACATAGAGACAGAAAGTGAGAAATCACCCCCCAGGGGGGATGGTCATGCTGCAATCCCTTCTCCTCCATTCTCCTCTTGGGATCTTGGGCACGCACGCACACGTGCCTGGCGTGAGTGCTAAGCCACGGGGTCCCGGACGCGAACCGCAATCGACTACGTGGGAGTCCAGCGACATAGCCATTACTCTAACTGCTGGTTCCCCCCAACTATTTCTTTCTTTCTTTTTTTTTTTTTAAGAATTATTTCCTTTATTTTATTTATCATTATTGTCTTATTTATTTATTTATTTATTTATTTTTAATTTGACCAGAGTGAGACACAAAGAGAAAGAAAGACAGAAAGCAAGAAAGCAAGCCGCCAAAGTCCAGGACTTGAACTGTGATCAGCCATGTAGGAGTCCAGTGCCTTTAACCACCACACCACCTGCCGGCCCCCTATTTCTTTTTAATTGCTAGAGAACACATGTGCTTGTCAGAGGGAGGGGGGGAGGGTAGGGCATGGTCATGCCACAACCTCTTCTTTGCCATTTCTCCCTCCCATTGAACTTTTGGGCATAAACCCAGTAAGTTTCTCAAGGTGCTGGGTCTAGGATTCAAACCACATAGCTGGCAACCCTCATCTTCACCATTTTTTTAAAAAATTGCTTACTTATTTAGTTCCATTTATTGTTATTATTTTTTAATTTGACCAGGCAGAGACACAGAGAGAGAGAGAGAGAGAAAGTGAGAAAGCAAGCCGCTATGTCCGGGACTCAAACCATGGTCTGCCATATGGGAATCCAGCACCTTTAACTACCACGCCACCTGCCAGCCCCATCTTACTCAGGCACGCTGAGTTCAGGGCATTAAGTACATTCATGTCACTGTGGAACCATCACCACCTTCCACCCCCAGAACTTCCCAGAACTTCACTACCAATCCAAACGGGATTCTTCTCTTTTGGCAATTGTAAAAAAAAAAATTTTTTTTTTTTTAATTTTTTTTCTTTCGAGAGGGAGAGTTTTGGCACAGGGCATGTGCACTCGCTGGAGACAGACAGAGAGCAAGAAATCAACCTCCTGGGGGAGATGGCCACATTACAATCCCTTCTCTTCCATTCTCTTTTGGGGATTTTGAGCATGCACACATGCCCAGTTTGAGTTTTAAGCCGCCAGATCTGGGACTCAACCTGTGGTTGGCCATGTGGGAGTCCAGCAATGTAACCATGACGCCATCTGCTGGTCCCCCAGAAGTGACCTTCTCAGCCCCTTCGAGGTGGTCTGGGCACAGAGCAGGTCAAGTGCGTGATGCTTTGCCCAAACGAGCCACCGTCTGAGGGAGCTTGCTGACCCGCTGCGCACAGAAAGGTCTCCAGCTAGTTTCGCGGTTGGAGCTCGAGGGCTGGCTGTGGCCCAGCTGGGTGATCACTCGGCCCAGCAAAGGCGCCGAAGCCAGGAGCACTAACTAAGGCTTCACTAATGCCAGGCCGTCCTGATAGGAGGAAAAGGAAAGCCTCCTCTCGGGGAGGGTGTGTGCTGGCCAGATTAAGAACCCAGAATGGCTGTCACGTGTGAGCAGGGAAAGCTGCACTGCAGTCACCTGGACCCGGCCCAAGTAGGCATCAGAAAGGGGCCCTGCCTGGCACCTGCTTGCACCAGCAACGCATTATCACCCTGTAGAAAATGCAAATGTGTGGACAGGAAGAGCAGGCTCCTGGTTGCCTAGAAGAGAGAGCAGGGACCTGCTGCAGACAAGCACAGAGCCGAGGAAATGACCTGGTCTTTTTTTGCAGTTTTTGCTTCAGGATGCATGCACTCACCAGACAGACAGAGAGAGAGGGAAGATGAGAAGTCACCCTCTCAGGGGAATGGTCACACTGCAGCCCCTTCTCTTCTAGTCTCCTCTCAGGGTTTTGGGCACGCACAAACACGCACTGGCATGACTTTGAAGCTGCTAGGTCCAGGACTTGAACTGCAGCCAGTCATGTTGGATTCAGTGCCTTAACCACTGCGCCACCTACAGACTCGAGTTGACTTTTTATTTTTTTGAAATTATTTATTTAATTGTATGTATTATTATTTTAAAATTTTGGTTTATGTCATGTGAGCTCACCAGAGAGAGAGAGAGAGACAGAGAGCAAGAGAGGAAGAAAGTGAGAAAGCAAGCCACCAGGTTCAGGACTCGGAACGGTGGTCTGCCATGTGGGAGTCCAGCACCTTAACCATCACGCCACCTGCTGGCCCCAAGGTGACTTATTCTAAAACTGGACTGTAGTTACAGCTGCACCACTGCATAAATTCACCAAAGAATCGCTGGACTGTGTGTGTAGGTGGTTTTATACACCTGTAACCCAATACAGCTGCTACAAAATAATACAACAGCCAGAGGCAAACAGCGGCTGCCAGAGCTGGGAAGGTTACAGAAAGGGAGAGACTTCTGGGGTGCTACAAATGCTCCGTGCCTGCCTGGGGTGGTGTCTGTAGGGGTGCACGCCCTAGCAGAGACTGTGCGCTTACGATGGGTGCAGTGTACTCCACACAAGTGCTTCCAGAAGGCAGCTCCGCTTCTCTCTCGCCTTCTGTTCGAGACACTTGAGCTAAAACCCAGGGAGGGAAGCATGGCCACCAGCACGCCGAGCTGCAGTTCTAGCTTAGCTGTGGCTCTGCCCACTCACCCGCCCAGCTTCTTGCCGTAGGCGATGGCCTCCTCCACCAGCCCTTGGTAGGCGGGCATCTGTGCCGCAGCCAGGATCAGGGACGGGTTGGTGGTGGCATCCTGGGGCTTGTACTCTTCGATGGCTAGGGAGACAAGCAGGAGGTGAGTAGAGCCTTCACTTCCACCTGCAATCCACCAAGCGTTGCCTGTTGATCCCAAAGACGGCAGCAGAGCTGAGTGCATTCTCCAAAGCAGGACATGGCCACACTCCTCTCATGCCTCCTTCCTGTCACAGAATGCTGGCCATGAGGTGGCAGTTTGCACAAGGGTGAGCCAATAACCAAGGCTCAGTGCCCAGGGACTGAAAAATACCCCTGCAAGAACTGTTCCCAGTGGAAGCCACGCAGAAGGCAGCTGGACGGGACGATCCATCACACTGCCACTAAGTGGCACTGGTACAGACCCAGTGACAGTAGCCACTGCTCGGAGATCTCCCAGGACTGCTCCCTTCTGCTTTAAATTCTCTTTTAACACCATAGTTCTTATCTTAGGGGCTAACTCTTAACCTGGGTCTCACTGTTCAGGCTGTCCAAATTGATTGTGGCCGTGGACAGCTCATAAACAGCTACTAGGGTTCATCAAACTGCCCATTCTTCTAGAGATAAGTTGGTGCAGTAAGTTTACTTGGCAAATTGGTATTTCCAAATCATCCCTGGATGACAAAACTATAGAGCTAGAGCACAGGCTGGAGCTCCCAGGGAACAGGGGACAGAGCAGGTGGCTCTCAGGAGCTCTCTGTGACGTGGGGAGCCCCAAGTCCTGCCATGGCCCTGACTGTCATGGAAGTGCCACACAGACCCCCGTGGAGGCTGGGAACGGGGGAGCAGAGGCGCGTCTGCAGCCCGTGCCACTGTCACAGCCAGGGTCACACCCTGGTTTGGACACTACACTGCAGTCACGTAAGATGCCCCTACTGGAGGACACGGGTGAAGGGTCCTGGCCTACTTCTGCAGCTTCTGAGTTGCCAGCCACTTCAGAACAGTGAGTTAGGGAAGGTGCTCTGGCCCAGTGCTGGCAGGTGTGCCACAGCCCCACAGCAGTGCACCGCCAACGGCACGCTTCGCCGTCTAAGTCACTCTAGAAAAGCCAGCCTTTAGCCAACTACTGCCTTCCTTATTTGTCTTGGCAAATTGCTCTTACCCCAGATAAAAACAAAACAAAATCAAGACCCACGAGGGTCAACAGATGGGATTCCTGGTCCAAGGACCTCAACTGAGGGCAAAACGCAGGGGAGGGATGGAGGTGCTGTCTGGGAAGAGTAATCACAGCTTCGATTACGACTTTCAAAGAAGCCTGTGGACCCCCTCTCCCCACTAAGGAGTTAAGACCTACACTCACATGGCTGATGCACTGCTAACAAATACACAACACCTAAAGACACCTATCAATGCATGTGTATTACAATAACATGGGACCAGCAGGTGGCATAATGGTTACATTGCTGAACTCCTACAGAGTCGATCACAGCCTGAGTCCTGGACCTGGTGGCTTAAAAACACATGCCGGGCATGTGTGCGTGTGTGTCCAAGACCCTGAGAACGGAGGAGAAGGGATTGTGGCGTGGCCATACCCCCAGGAGGTGATTTCTGACTTCCTATCTCTTTGTCTCTCTGGTGAGCACACATGCCCTATAGCAAAAAATCCCTAAAAAAATAATTAGATAAATAAAATAAAACCAGGGGTGTGGTGGTTAAGGTGGCTGGATCCTGCATCACCAACCACACAGTCGACACAGTGGTTGGAAAAACACATCTCTCTCCAGCAAGCACACATGCCCTCTCGCAAAATTAAAATAAAATAAAGTTAACATCCATTAAAAAATTAAAATTCTGGGAGCTGGCACGTGGCATGGTGGCTAAGGTGGCTGGATTCCACACGGTCAACTGGAAAGTTCCAAGTTCCAGCCCTGGCAGCTTGAAAAACATGCCACGCGTGTCCCTGCCTATAGCAAATTCAGTTGTTTATAGATTTTTGCCACAGGAAGAGTGTACTCACTGGGAGAGGGAAGGGAAAACGAGAAACCATCACCCAGTGGGACGGCCACACAGCAATCCCTTCTCCTCCATTCTCCTCTGGGGATTCTGGGCACACATACCTGGCATGATTTTTAAGCTGCTGGGTCCAGGACTTTAACTGCATAGTCAGTCATGTGGAAAAAAGAAAAAAAGGCAAGCTAGCCAGTGACCTGGAGGTGAAAGCAGCTGGATCCTACACCGCCAACTGCACAGCTTGAGTCTCAGACCCAGCAGTTGTGTGTGAGCCTCCAATTCTGAAAAGAGCTTGGAGAAGGACTGTAGTGAGGCCATCCTCCCTGGGGGTGTGACTTTTCGCCTTCCCTCTCTCCCCCAGCAAACGCACTACAGCAAAAGTTTAAAAAGGGAAGGAGGAACGAAGGGGAGAAGAAAACCCCTTTACTGATCAGACCTGCACACATCCTGGCGTGGCCTTGGGAGAACCCAGCTTATCAGCCCTGCTTTGCTGAGCGGTAGCCCCGACTTGGGCAAGGGCTATGCTCTGACTGGTGGGAGCCAGCAGGGACAGTGCAGAGCTCTGACCACTGAGCCAACACCCGAATCCTTCTCAGTGCTAGGAGCAGAAAAACCTGCAGCCACTCCTCCAGCCCACCCTGTCCTACAAGCAACTCTGCCAGGAGAGGTCTGGACCACAGCAGGCAGAGCAGAGGGCTTGGACAGCGGGGCAGGTCCTGCAGCAGGTGCTAGCACCCCGAGACAACCACTGAATCACCCTTTTATGTTTGAGCTGCCAGACGGGCCATTCACCACCCTCCTAGGCTCTGCTAGATAAACAAAGCTCTCAGTCAGTTACCAAAGAGGAGTTAAAGCCTGTTTCTCAAGTCACCATGAGAAAGCAAAAAAGAGAGTAAGCCACTTCCGTATTGGGTGCCCATGCACACATATCCACGGAACAGTTCATGATTTTCCCAGAAATCTTCCGTGTTCACAGCAAAGCACAGGAACAAGGCTCAGTAGCCGGCCCTGCGCAGTGGGGACCCATGTGGACTCCTTGGTAAAACTTGCCTGTCTGTCCAATTCTCTCCAAGGCCAGGGAAATCTACATACTAACTGCAGGATGCTGCTTTCGGTCCAACCAGGCCGGGCACCCTGCCACCAACGGTCACCAGGGCCGCGGCTGTCCCGTTGGGCAAGAGGAGGGACGCGTGTGCGCCAGGTTCACAAGCAGGTGTTCACGAGCAGCACTGACTCTGGGCCAGAACCACTCAGGCCTGCTCTGCAGCCAGCGGGCGCGAACAGACGCACCTGTGCCGCCACGAACCCGCACGCGGAGGCCAGCTCGAAGGTGTCGCCTGCTCTGCCCCTGCGCGGAGGCTCCCAGGCTGTCCCAGCCACCGAGAGCACCGCGGCGCAGGGAGGGGCTCGGGCGGAGCGGCGGCGCCGGCGGACCTCGACCCCGGGTCGGGTGCGGGGCTCCGGGTGCGGCAGACTCCGGGCCGGGAGCGGAGGCGAGGCGCGGGGCACAGGAGGCACTCGGACTTCCGACCCG